GGAAAATCTGTCAGTTTTGATGATATGTCATCTTAATATGTCCATGTAAATGTTACACAAAATCCTATTGTTTTATGTAGAAATGGGTCATGTAGATCTCATTACACAGTCCTGTCATAAATGAATAGGATATTTCAGGATTTCACAAATATACATCTGTATAATAGATCAACTGGGTAAAACATAATTCAATTCGTTTTTAGAGATTTTACTCAGACAACCTTAAACTAAAGCAAAGTGCATACAGTCAGCCTTCCATATCTGCACATTTCATATCCATGGGTTTAATCAACCAAGGATGGAAAATATGCTAAAAAAAATAAAAAATAAAAACCCAGAAAGTTTCAAAATGAAAATTTCAACTGGCTGCTTGCTGGCAACTATTTAAACAGCATTTAACATTGTATTTACAGCTATTTACGTAGTATTTACATTGTATTAGGTATTATAAATAGTCTGGGCTTAGTCGCTCAGTCATGTCTGACTCTTTGTGACCCCATGGACTATAGCCTGCCAGGCTTCTCAATCCATGGAATCCTCCAGGCAATAATACTGGAGTGGGTTGCCATGCCTGCCTCCAGGGGATAAGTAGTCTAGAGACTACTTAAAATATAAGAAAGGATGTTCCTAGGATGCAAACACTACTGCCATTTTACAGGAGACTTGAGCATTTGAGGGTTTAGGTTTCATGGGAGGTGCAGTAACCAATCCTCTACAGATATCAAGGGATGACTCTTATCTGTTTTCCTAAATTATTAAGAAATCTGTGGGGAAGAAAGCTATTAAGTTTGGTGCAAATGTAACTGTGTTTTGCATTGTTGAACTTTGCTGTTTGATATTAGAATATATTCTTAAATATATGTGGTTCTGTTATACATCATTTTAATGTGCATTTCTTACTTTATGTTTTTTTTTTGCTAATGACATTACTTGCTGTTTATATTTATTTTAGACTATAGAAATGATGGTAGACAAAATGCAAATTTGAGCAATTTTTTTATTTGTATTCAAAATGGGTCACGAGAGCCTTGAAGATGAGAAGAGTAGTGGCCGACCATCAGAAATTGACGACTGACTGAGAGGTTCATCAAACCTGATCCTCTGACAACCACACGGGAAGTTGCCCAAGAACTCGGTGTGGCCCATTCTATGGTCATTAGGCAGTTGAAGCAAATCAGAAAGGTGAAAAGCTGGATAAGTGGGTGCCTCACGAGCTGACCACAAATCAAAATAATCGTCAGTTTGAAGTGTCATCTTCTTTTATTTTACACAACAACACGAAGCCATTCCTCAATCGGATTGTGATGTGCGCTGAAAAGTGGATTTTATGCTACAACCAGCAACAACCGGCCCAGTAGTTGGACCGAGAAGAAGCTCCAAAGAACTTCCCAAAGCCAAACTCTCACCAAAAAAGGTCATGGTCACTGTTTGGTAGTCTGCTGCCCCTCTGATCTGCTATAGCTTTCTGAATCCATGCTCAGTAAATAGATGAGTTGCACTGAAAACTGCAGTATTGGCAGCAGGCATTGGTCAACAGAAAAAGCCTAATTCTTCTCCACAAGAATGCCCCAGTGCACATTGTGCAACCAACGCTTAGAAAGTTGAATGAATTGGGCTATGAAGGCTACAAAGCTTTGCCTCATCTGCTATATTGACCTGACCTCTTGCCAGTCGACTACCACTTCTTCAAGCATCTCAATAACTTTTTGCAGGGAAAACGCTTCCACAACTAGCATGAGGCAGAAAATGTTTTCCAAGAGTACTTGAATCTCAAAGCACAAATTTTTACACTGCAGGAATAAACAAACTTATTTCTCGTTGGCAAAGATGTGTTGATTGTAAAGGTTCCTATTTTGATTAATAAAGATGTTTGAGCCTAGTTATAATGATTTAAAGGGCTTCCCTGGTAGCTCAGATGGTAAAGAATCTACCTGCAATGCAGGAGACCCAGATTTGATCCCTGGGTGGGGAAGATCCCCTGGAGGAGGGCATCACAAATTCTTGCCTGGAAAACCCTGTGGACAGGGGAGCCTGGTGGGCTAAAGTCCATGGGGTCTCAGAGTCAGACACAACTGAGCGACTAACACTTTCACTTCCAACTTCCTTAATGATTTAAAATTCACAGCCTGAAACTGGAATTACGTTTGCACCAATCTAATATTCTCCATAAGTGCGTGAGCATGGAAGAATTGAAGAGCAAAACCCTGGGCTTCTATAGGCAGGATGATGCTTGACGGTAACTCACAGAGAAGTAGTTCTGTGCTCTAAGGAAGACTTTTTACCAGTTTATTCAACTCCAAATTTATAGTGTTTTTTAAAGCTATACAGTCAGGTTACATTTACAGTCCATCACCAGAGTTAATAGAAATACAATTAGTTGTAACTACAGTATGGTTAATGGAGACACAGTACATAAAATGTAAACTTCGCTGATTCTCTAATTGGCATAAAAGCCGAGACACAAGAAAGTAGTCTTTATAACACAGCAGAGTTAAACACCAGTAATCAACACAACTAAAAGCATAGATTACACAAGACTCAGATTTTCATCTTAAGAAAATTTCCTCTAACTGTACCATCAAAGATTTTATCTGTCCTCTAGAGACACATTGTCCCATACAGTAGCCCCTAACCACACATGGCTATTAAGTACTTGAAGGTGATGTCCTAGGAGTGTAAAAACCCCAGTGGATTTTGAAATGTAGCTTTGAATGAAAGAATATAAAATGTCTATTGAAAAGTTTTTATGTTGCATGCACCCTGAAATAACACTTTTGATAGTTAAATTATTAAAATTAATTTTACCTGTTTCTTTGTATTTTGAAAATGTGGTTACTAGAAAATTTAAAAGTCCATCCACCGCTCACATTTGCAGCTGACTTTATATTTTCATTGGACAGCATTTCTCTAGATACTGAAGGGCTATAATGGCATAACTATACTGGACTTTCATCTGTGTACATTTCTGTTCTCTGTCATACTTCATTAGTCATTAGTTCATAGTGTATAAGGTGAGTTCAATACTTCTCAACACATATTTCTGTTTTCTTCACACCTTACTACTCTTAGGCAGTCTTTTCCCTCTGTTAAGAACCCTTTCCCACTGGCCTAGTTGGCAAATTCTTACCTTTTAATAGCCAGTTAAAGCATTCTTTTCTCTTAAAATTTTCTCTGAACTCCCTTACTCCACACTTGTACCCAAACTAGAAATACAGATTGTCCTTTGGATTATGAAAGTTGTTGTTCAGTCGCTAAGTTATGTCTGACCCTTTGTGACCCTCATGGACTGAAGCATGCCTAGCTCCTCTGTCCTTCACCATCTCCAAGAGTTTGCTCAAATTCAAGTCCATTGAGTCAGTGATGCTATCTAATCATCTCATCCTCTGCCACTGCCTTCTCTTTTTGCCTTCAATCTTTCCCAGTGTCAGGGTCTTTTCCAATGAGTTGGTTCTTTGCATTAGGTGGCTAAAATTTTGGAGCTTCAGCTTCAACATCAGTTCTTCCAATGAATAGGGTTGATTTCCTTTAGGATTGACTGATTTGGTCTCCTAGCAGTCCAAGGGACCCTCAAGAGTCTTCTCCATCACCATAGTTCGAAAGCATCAGTTCTTCGGCACTCAGCTTTCTTTATGGTCTAACTCTCACATCTGTACATGACTACTCAAACAGCCATAGCTCTGCCTATACAAACCTTTTCTATACTGTGAAAGTATCTTGCCCAATATCTACTGGATGCCTACCATTTGCAGAACACAGGGATAAGTGGGGACATATCCAAACATGAACCAGAAAGACATGGACCCTATGCCTGAGGTGATTGCATCTAGAATGGGATACAGATAAGTAAATACCCAGTCACCAACTGGAGTGAAAAATTCTATCACAGACAGATTCAGGGAGCACAGCATAAGCATGCCTCTCCCAGACAACTTCTTTGTGGCAGATAAAAACACTGAGCCTGAACTATATGTATCTGATCTCATAGGAACCCTGAATTTAAAAAATAGTTGTGTGTGTAAGTATAAAAGCTCAAGAGCATCTTTTTCAAATCACAATTGGTTAAAGTGAGTTGCCTTCAAAATACAAATCCCAGAATAGGCATTCTTCTATTACATATATGTCCCAGTATCCTTACAATGACTCTCTTAACCACGAAATTTAGGTATTGATTTTTTTTAAAAAACAAAGTACAACAACAAAATAGCCCCAACACAATTAGAATGATTAAAAATGAATTCCACAAAAGGTGTGCAATTTACTTAACACTAATGTACTATCAAAAAGAGTTCAGGATTTCAAGGATTGGATTTCTGTAGGTTTGAGAAGATAGATGAAGAATGAAGTGAGGAGCTCTGTTATCTAACATTTTGCAGTAGACTTTTAAACAGGAGTGTTAAAAAGGGCAGGACCAGCATTTGGCTTGTTGGATTAATTGTGCAATCTTATTTACCAGGAGGTCATTTATCTACCAACCACAATGATCTAAAACCCAGTTAAGAAACAAAAAGAATGCTTTTTAAAGCATCATTTGAGTAGTCCAAATATCTGTCACAAGGTCGATGCACTTAAGTTCACCTGCCTTTCTCCTTGGTGAGCACATCAGTTCCTTACATGGGACCTATTTTGTTTTACTTTAGACTGAATTGTGACAAATGAGGCTAACCTTCACCATCTCCCAGAGTTTGCTCAAATTCAAGTCCATTGAGTCAGTGATGCTATCTAATCATCTCATCCTCTGCCACTGCCTTCTCTTTTTGCCTTCAATCTTTCCCAGTGTCAGGGTCTTTTCCAATGAGTTGGTTCTTTGCATTAGGTGGCTAAAATTTTGGAGCTTCAGCTTCAACATCAGTTCTTCCAATGAATAGGGTTGATTTCCTTTAGGATTGACTGATTTGGTCTCCTAGCAGTCCAAGGGACCCTCAAGAGTCTTCTCCATCACCATAGTTCGAAAGCATCAGTTCTTCGGCACTCAGCTTTCTTTATGGTCTAACTCTCACATCTGTACATGACTACTCAAACAGCCATAGCTCTGCCTATACAAACCTTTTCTATACTGTGAAAGTATCTTGCCCAATATCTACTGGATGCCTACCATTTGCAGAACACAGGGATAAGTGGGGACATATCCAAACATGAACCAGAAAGACATGGACCCTATGCCTGAGGTGATTGCATCTAGAATGGGATACAGATAAGTAAATACCCAGTCACCAACTGGAGTGAAAAATTCTATCACAGACAGATTCAGGGAGCACAGCATAAGCATGCCTCTCCCAGACAACTTCTTTGTGGCAGATAAAAACACTGAGCCTGAACTATATGTATCTGATCTCATAGGAACCCTGAATTTAAAAAATAGTTGTGTGTGTAAGTATAAAAGCTCAAGAGCATCTTTTTCAAATCACAATTGGTTAAAGTGAGTTGCCTTCAAAATACAAATCCCAGAATAGGCATTCTTCTATTACATATATGTCCCAGTATCCTTACAATGACTCTCTTAACCACGAAATTTAGGTATTGATTTTTTTTAAAAAACAAAGTACAACAACAAAATAGCCCCAACACAATTAGAATGATTAAAAATGAATTCCACAAAAGGTGTGCAATTTACTTAACACTAATGTACTATCAAAAAGAGTTCAGGATTTCAAGGATTGGATTTCTGTAGGTTTGAGAAGATAGATGAAGAATGAAGTGAGGAGCTCTGTTATCTAACATTTTGCAGTAGACTTTTAAACAGGAGTGTTAAAAAGGGCAGGACCAGCATTTGGCTTGTTGGATTAATTGTGCAATCTTATTTACCAGGAGGTCATTTATCTACCAACCACAATGATCTAAAACCCAGTTAAGAAACAAAAAGAATGCTTTTTAAAGCATCATTTGAGTAGTCCAAATATCTGTCACAAGGTCGATGCACTTAAGTTCACCTGCCTTTCTCCTTGGTGAGCACATCAGTTCCTTACATGGGACCTATTTTGTTTTACTTTAGACTGAATTGTGACAAATGAGGCTATCTGGAATCTCGGTCTGCACCAGACTAGCAGCTGCCAATCAGAAGAGAAGTATAATGTTAGAGACAGGCACCCTGGCAAAAGAGAGAAAAGACAACAGATTGTCAGTTAGGGAAGGGGGAGAGAGAGCAACTACCAAAGACAGAGATGGTCACTGGGTCATAGTATCCTGGAGCCCATCAGGGTGAGGACTGATGGCTTCTACACGTCCTGGGGTCCTGGAAGCATTCCTAACTCCTAGGAAGGAGCTTGACAGAGAACAGGGACTTGATGTAGTCGTTAAGTTCATTATAACCTACTATCAAAATTAACTCTGAATTTTTAAGAAAAAGCCAAAAAACGGCTTAAGAAAATAGAAACATCTAAAATACTTCTCAGAAAATATTTGTCCAACGGTTAAAAACAGTTTTAAAGAAAATTAGTTTGATTCCTTAAAGGGCCACCCACACTCCAATAATGATGCCTATCACTTAATTGAAACAGTTGGCTCTGAATCAATCCTGGATAAACGTCGTCCTGCGGAACAGTGGACTTTACTAAGCTGCCTTGAACAGATTTTAAATGGTGGTAGATACAAATAATAAGCTCTCATATAAGGCTTAAATATATAAGATGGCAACAGATCGCACAGTTGAAATCACTAGGGTGATGTAAAATAATTGTTCTAAAATGCTCTATCACCATGAAGCAAAATCTTCCGGCCATGTGCCCGGCACTGTGCTAGGTGCTGTATTATTAAGCACTAACCTGAAAAATCGCTTTTCCTTTTAAGAATGTGAAGGTGTTCCCAAATCCTCATTCATATTTTTAAAGGTTAAATGACATTTTACACGCACAACACAACCATTACATAACAGGCATAGAATACTGTTCTATGACTTGGATAGTTCTTTTTTTTAAGTGCACTAGCAACTTTATTTTCAAATGCTGTGGAATCCTCAAGGATCTGAAAACCTACACAGAGGAATGGAGTGTCTTATCCACTCACTTGTTTTGTGTGATGTGTTTAAACACAGGCATGCCATTTCGGAGTTTACAGTGAGGCTAAGCTGTACTTTAGCGTTTTTGCAGCAAGCAAAAACAATTTCTGCAACGGTCCTCATTTCCCCTGGCAATTTTTTTTTTTTTTTCATGGCGAGTTACTAAATGCTAGATGCTAGAGTCAAAAAGAAACCTGACATCTGGGGAGGTGTTGCGGGGGTGTTAATAGTTCTAGTTTGATGTTTGGGGACAGCCTTGAGGATAAGATTTTAAAACAGCAAATGCAGGGAGAAGGGGAAATGATGGTTTCGGATGACTCTCTCCTCCCTCCACTTTCTCTCTTCACCAATCCTTATCCCCCCCAATTTAGAGGCGGGTTCAGGGAGATCAGGCTGCAGGAAAGCAGGAGGCTCTCGGGGCTGCCGCCCCGGCCTCGTGATGTAATTGTTATTTCTCACTCGGAGCCTGAACCGGCCGAGAGCTGCCCGAGAAGCGGCAGCCGGGTGCCTTCTGCCTTGTCTTGGAGGGTCAGGTTCGGTCCGAGGACGATGTCGATTCGCGGACCGACTCCGCTGGAGACTTCGCAGTGACAAAGCAGCAGAAGATAAACCCTGCTTCCGTCCGAGGAGCTGAACCCGGCGCTCCTCAGGTCTCCTTCCCAGTTTTCCTCTCGGACTCAGCCCCCGATTATCCCTGGGTGCCTCCTACGTGCTGGGCGCGGGATCAGAGGGACCCGCAGTTAGCGCCCGTTCCGCCCCCCCCCCACCCCCCAAGACTAAAGCAAGACACACAAATGACAAGGTGGTGGAAGTTGGGGGGTGGGCGAGAGGGAGCCCCGGAGACACGGGGCGTGGGGTGAAGTGGGCGGAGAAGGACGCCTAAGACGCCGGCACCCAGGAAGGGACCCGGGGCGTCGCGACCCCCAGGCTGAGCCCCCTTCGCGGGCCTTTGGCTTGGGTCACGAGACTGGTCCCCCCTGCCCCCCCCGCCCCCGGGAGCCCCAGGAGGAGCTGTCCCGGCGCCTTCGGCGGCGGTGGGGGCTGCTGGAGCACCCACCTCTCCCGGCCGCCGTGGTCCTCCCGCCGCCTCGGGGCTCCCGCAGCCCCCGCCCGGCCGGCCGGAGGGAGGGCGAGGAGGAAAACCAGCCAACCGAGAGGGCCCCGCGGTTCCCGCGAGCCTCCGGGACCCGAGCGCGTGCCTGCCGCCGCGGTGACAATGGGAGAGAAGGGGGAAAAAAGGGTTAAGAAACTTGGCTGAAGAGCTGAATGGCGTGGAGCGGCGAGGGGAGGGACTGGGCCGCGGCCGCCGCGGCGGCGGAGGGAGGAGCGCGGCTGCGGGCGGGCGGGCGGAGGGGCGTCGGGGCGGCTGGGGGCCCGCGCTGCGGGGCGGCGGGAGCGGACGCGGACGGCGGACTGGACTCGGCGGCGGGGGACGGCTTCCGGGCACATCCCGCCTCTCCTGCCGGCTCCGAACCTCCCCGGGAACTCGGGGGACCCGGGCAGCGGGGCCGGCAAGTTGTGGAGTTGGCCCGGGGGGCTCACCGGCGCGTTCCTGGCCGTCCTGGGCCGGGGGGGCGGGGGGAGGGCGGCCACCGTGTGGCCCCGGAGCCGGGCCGGGGGTCGGGGTCGCGCCCCCGCTCTGCTGTCCCCCTCGGCCCGGAGCCCCGGGCGCTTCTCGCCGTGCGGTTCTCGGTCCTGCTGCCCCGGGCGTCCTGGGCGGCGCCGGGCGCAGCTCCCCGCCTCTCGCCGGGGTGCCTCCCTGCTCTGAGCTGGCAGGATCCCGGGCTGGGGAAAGTGGGTAGGCAAGGGGTCCGCGCTCCCGGCCCCCAGCCGACCCTCGGGTCTAGCCCGGCCCGTTGGTACTTATCCTTCCCTTCCCGAGGGCGAGGCCCCTGGGACCCGAGGCCTCAACCATCACTTTTCTCCGGAGCCAGAAAACCGGGTTCACCTCTAGAGTGAACCCCGTATAGGTCCTGGGAGGCTTCGTTTTTCTCTCTTACATCCATGTGTCCTCTTCTGCTACTAGTGGATGTTGTCTTATGAAGGGTTTCCTGGGAAATATTCTGCAAACCCTCACAACCTTTCCAAAGTAGTTTTCCAAATTTTAATCAAGAGTTGCTGTTCCGTCTGCAGGAACAAAGGGATCAACTATGTCTTAGAGGCGAGCAAGCTGGGAGTCTGTGACACATGTTGATCTCTGAAGTATTTCAGGAGTTTTTACCTTCTATCTCGTTATTGAATTGAGTTTTGAAGATAGTAGAAGAACAGCATACGTACTTTTGCGTTTTAAAAACATTTTTAATAGGGCGTTTTTATGTTGGAAAAGAAGTAAGACGTTCTTAGCCACAGGAACTTTACATTCAGTTGGTGGAACTGGAGTTTGTCTCCGGTAATATAAATGATTAAATGTGAGATTGTGCGGGAAAAACTGTTCTTAGAGGAAGAGCGTCTATCCATAGGGTGAAAGTAAAAATGGTTGTTGAGTTACAGATGATGGTTGCTTTCTACGTTTGGGGAGGGAGTGGTTTGTGAAGCAGAGGGCTTTGGTAATTCATTCTTTAAAGTTATGAATTGCATTGAACCTGCTTATTAGTGAATCATGACTTTAGCAAGTGGGTGGCATCTTCCCGAAGTGATTCTTCCGTGGTTAATCACTAGTTTGCCACCTTTGTTGTTGAAGAGACACTGAAATAAGTGGACTTTTTAAACAAATGGTGCTTAATCTGCCTGGCACCAAAGTGTGGGTTGCTGCCTGGAGTATGTTGAAATGTTTTCAGCTTTGAAGTAAGTTGCTCTGGTTTTGCCCAGCGGTTTGGTAATGTGGTTTAGGTTTAACTGGTTTCAGAGAGTAGTGGCTTCATCACCAGGGCTAACTTTTCTCTGCTTGGAATTAGTTCCTAAAGACAAAGAAGATTCCAGCAGTGGAACAGCCATTATCCTGCAGGCTGCAGGATTGTTAGTCTGTTTCCTACACTCTGGTGGGGAAAGACCTCTTTCCACACTTACCCCTTGAAAGTGCCCTAGGAGCAGGAGTAAAATACATACAGAAACAAAAAGCAGGACTCCTCATTGTTAATTTTACCCCAGTGCGCTCTCTACAATGCCTTTGAGGTAGTTGAAAACCAGGTTTAATGCTTGGACCCACTTCCTGTGTGGGTCTCCAAATTTTTACTAATTGGCCACCCTAAAATTGTATAAGTTTGCAGTAAAAAGACATCTGTAAAAGAAGCAGAAGTCTCCTCTGACTCTTGCAGTTTTTTCAGAGCAAAACATCATGATAAAAAATAACCTATACCACCACCTAGAGTCTGTTTGTTAGTTTATTGCTCCTGAAGTTTGCTTAAATGGACATGCCTCTTGTGGTTCTGATACAGCCAAAGAATTATTATTAAATACTAACTTTCAAAAGGCCATCCAAGAAAATGATTATTTGCATGATAAATAGCAGGTGCCAGTTTAAATTATGCATGCTACCTTTACAATAGAAAATGATGACATATCAAGTTAAGTGGGCTATTTGCCAAAAGATATTAATTCCAAAGACTTTAAGAAATTTTGTGTCTGTGCCTTAGGTAGCTCTGATTGCTTAAAGGCTCTGTGTATTGTCACCAGAGATCCAAGACATCTTACAATTTAATACCCTTAGGATTTTTTTGAGGTCCAAGTGAAACAAAAGCAATGATCAAATAAAAATGTAAGGGAGCATCACAACTCCAGAAATTCTGGAAACTTTAAAGGTAAGAGAGAAGTTAGGCTATAGTAAAGTTGCAGTTCAGAGATGTGAAAAGTAGCATCACTGTGAAATAAAGTGGCAATCTGTCCTGCTGGTAGTTTATACATGGTAAAACAATCTGTTAAATGGGAGGATGGGAGACCTTAAGAAGACAGCTCTGTTGCCATGTGGTTTAGCACATTGTCCTGGGAGGAAGTAACATTCCTTCTTTAAACTGTGTAACCCGAGAGAAAGATGGCCTCCAAGATCTTTAATTAAATACCAGTTGAACAGAGAGAACTAGAGCACTGTATTAATTCTGTCAAACATCACTATTTTAGAACATCAAGGACAACTAAAAATGAATTAACTCATATCTGAAAGCAGAGTTTTATGGAAGGTGACAGATGAGGCAAAATATGTCAGTCTAATGGCGCAAATAGGGAGATAAGGAGATATGTCATTCTTGGCTCCCTAAAAAGATGAGAAGGAGGAAGGTTATTATTGTACAGATTCCATTGCAAACCGATACTGGAAGATGATGGCACAGAAGTAGTTTTAAATCAGAGTGACTTAGGATATATGATGTTAAAGCGATTAGGTTTTAAAACTTGACAATTGTAAGAAACTTAAAAGGTCATTTTTAAGTGTTCCGAAAGAGCAGTGATAGCTTTGTGGATCAGGTTAAAAAAATAACTCTGCCCCACATAAGTTTGAAACAGCTCATTTGTATCAAGAAAAAAATTGTTCTCTTTAAATTGTGATAGGTTGAGTTTTGCTTTTCAAATTTTAGATTTCCGGTTACAGTCAGGTTTTAAAGTATAGGTGGTAGCATCCCAGTTTGTCCTCACCCCACCTCCCTTTCTCCTTGCTGTTCCTGCTTTCTTGTCCCCTTCTTTAAAATGAGTAGCTTCTACATCTGTGGACGTTTTCTCCCATTAACCTTGCCTTCATTTGTAGCTTTGCTTCTTAGCTGTGTTGGGATGAAGGTTCTTTACACTTGCGCTCTTTCCAGATGCCCCTTCACGTGGCTGACGCGTGATGAGGGTGGGTCTGTATTGGTTTGGTCTCACAGTGGTTTAGTGCCCCATGGGTGCGGACTGGGGAGAAAAGCATTTGCTGTTCTAACAAAGCCTTTTGTATCCATCTTCCAGCTAGAGAAATATTTTTATGAAAAGCAACTTTTGATTACTACGGAAAAGTCAGAGAGACGCTCTGAGCAGAACAGGGCGGGGTGGTGGTTGGAGGCACTTTCAGGATCATGAGTTTGATTTGGCGAATTGTTCAAGATGCATTTCCTTAAGTGGCAGTTTTGCGAGGGGACTGACAGAGGGGAAAATGAGCAAACTTCATTCCATAATATTTAGATTGACGCAATAATCAGGATTGGCACAATATTACTCCAGGAGGGTCACTAAGACTTGAGAAGGTAAAAATCGAGAGTGTCAGATGATGAAGCAGGCCAGTGGCATGGAACTGAGGCTTATATCCAGAGGTTGGAATGAAAAAAAAAAAAAAGTAAATGGAGGAGAGAGATCTTGTTTCTGTATCTGGTACTGAAGCAGGGACATGAATTGCTGATGGTAATGGAGTCCCTTTTATGAGGGCAGCAATATTATATAAATAGTGGTGGTTTGAGAGGGAGAAATGGCAAGTTCCCCACTTACGCGTGGGCACACTGTTTTTGAATGTCTCTTAAATATATCTATAAAGTGGAAGGTCAAAATTGGATACCACCATAGAAACAGGACTTAGTTTATTTTGAAGGAAATGAATTAAAAATAGACCATCTTTTCTTTATTCTTTTGAGATATGGTGTTTTCCAGGGGTCTTATTAAACATGGAAAACAGAGTGCTGAGGTTTGGGTGGTATAACTGGAGAATTCTTTCATAAGATTGCTGATGAGGATAACTTCATGTAAATAGCCCCAGAAAGAC